ACTATAGTCTGGACTATGGTCTCTGCTATAGTCTGGACTGTAGTCTCTACTATAGTCTTGACTATAGTCTCTGCTATAGTCTGGACTATAGTCTCTACTATAGTCTGGACTATAGTCTCTACTTTAGTCTTGACTATAGTCTCTACTATTGTCTGGACTATAGTCTCTACTATAGTATGGACTATAGTCTCTACTATTGTCTGAACTATAGTCTCTACTATAGTATGGACTATAGTCTCTACTATTGTCTGAACTATAGTCTCTACTATAGTCTGGACTATAGTCTCTACTATAGTCTGGACTATAGTCTCTACTATAGTCTGGACTATAGTCTCTTCTATAGTCTGGACTATAGTCTCTTCTATAATCTGGACTATAGTCTCTTCTATAGTCTGGACTATATTCTTTACTGTAGTCTGGACTATAGTTTTACTATAGTCTGGACTATATTCTCTACTATAGTCTGGACTAAAGTCTCTACTATAGTTTGGACTATAGTCAGGACTATATCCTCAACTGTGGTCTGGACTATTACCTCTACTATAGTCTGGACTATATTCTAAACTACAGTTTTCTATAAAAAATCAATTAAAATTTCTTTATAACTTTATCCTCCAAAATTTATTTATAAATCATAAATTAACCAGAAAACATAAAATGACCATGGTCCAAACAATTTAAACATAATTTTTGAACTACAAAAATTATTACTGAAACACTAAACTTGTCTGATGTTCATAAAAATCTATAATAAAAGAGATAAAAAATCAAGTAAAACAAAATGTTTACAACATTTACAATCATGTTTCTCTATAGCTGATGATGATGATGTTGCATGAGTGAATAGTATTTTTTTTTTCTATTTAAAATTTATTTAAGATAAATCTTTTAAAATCACATAAACTAAACACTTGTCCAAAAGTCAAAAGATCACTAAAAAGAAAATAAAGAAAAAAAAACACATAAAAATCTTAAACTCATGTCTTGGACACACACTCAAACAAAAATATTTTAAACAAATTTATTAACTTTACAAACATAAAAAAAAAATTAAAAAGAAACTCTTTTGAATTGCATTGCAACAACGTCTGGCACATGAGTCCAACAACAACAAGAGTTGAACATAAAATATTGTCAATTTTAAAAAATATATATAATTTTTGTTGTCATCTTTCTCAAACTCAAAGTGGTTGTAAAAAATTTGTTTTTATTAAGTCTCTAGATGCTATTTAATTTATAGAAACAATTTTCCAGATTATTAAAAGATTTTTTTTTTCTAAATTAAAACACAAAATTTCATGTTTGATCTTTAAAAAAAGAAATATTTTTTTGAAATTTTATTTAAAATTTTTATGATGTAAAAATTATGATTTACGATAAGTGAACATATATAATTTGATTTAGTAAGATATTGTGTGTTGTGATGGGAGTAGGAGAAGAAGTATTAAACTGAAGAAAATATAAAATAAATTATTAAAAATTTTGAAGGATAAAATATTTATAAAAAAATTGATTTACCACACATCAGAATAGTAGGGACTCTAGTCCCTACTATAGTCGAAACTATAGCATAGAATACAGTATAAACAATAGTATAGACAAAAGTTCAGACTATAGTCCAGACTATAGTATAGAATACAGTATAGACTACAATCCAGACTATAGTATAGACTATAATCCAGACTATAGTGTAGACTATAGTCCAGAATAAAGTATTGACTATAGTCCAGACTATAGTATAGACTATAATCCAGACTATAGTATAGACTATAATCCAGACTATAGTATAGGCTATAGTCCAGACTATAGTATATACTATAGTCCAGACTATAGTATAGACTATAGTGCAGACTATAGTATAGACTATAGTCCAGACTATAGTATAGACTATAGTCCAGACTATAGTATAGACTATAGTCCAGACTATAGAATAGACTATAGTCCAGACTATAGTATAGACTATAGTCCTGACCAGACTGTAGTTAACACTAGTAGTTGGCTCTATAATCCAAAATTCCGGTTGTCAATGTAATCCTTACTATAGTATAGACTATAGTATAGACTATAGTCCAGACTATAGTATAGACTATAGTCCAGACTATAGTATAGACTATAGTCCAGACTATAGTATAGACTATAGTCCAGACTATAGTATAGACTATAGTCCTGACCAGACTATAGTTAACACTAGTAGTTGGCTCTATAATCCAAAATTCCGGTTGTCAATGTAATCCTTACTAGGTACAATATTTTATAGTTCGGTTCACATTTATCTCAAGCCCCAATAAAAGGTCTTCCTTTTAAAATATATTTATTGCTCATAGTTAAACTGTGCTTTTCAGTAAACGACACAAGTTATCACCTTTCCCTCTGCACCTGCTCTATACCAATATATTAAACCCTAGTCTACTTACTCCACTTTAAAAAAAAATTAGATAATCGTCCACATGTCTGTTCTCTTTTCACAAGTCACTGCTTTCAAAAACAACAATTATTGTTACAAATAATTTGTAATGATTAAATTCAAAACCAAGTATAAAAATTCCGATAGTTTTAGAAAAGAAACAAACAGGAGTTTATTCTTTGGAATCAACATTAAGGCCCAAATACAATTAGGGTGGATTTTCTTTTTTTGGTTTTATCAAACACACATTTCCACAGGTATATACAACACGAACATACTCTCAAACATACTTACAACAAAAACCATAAGACATAGAGAGCATGGTTGTAAGAGAGAGTAGTGTTTTTTATTTAGTACCTATTCAACCTTTAACGAAGTCGGGTGGTAACGCGTACGAAGTAAGACGGAACGAACTTTGTGTTTGTATTTTTACGTAGTTTTATTTTTGTTGGTGGAAAACGCAACGAAATTTTCCCACGCGTACGATTTTGTGCGAAATTTGTGATAAAAGAGAATATTAAAATATCAGTGTGATATTGCAATTAAAGAGAAAGAATATTGATGATAATGTTTTGAATAAAATTTATTAATTACAGTGAAATCCAATATTAGTGAACAATATTAGTTGTGTTTTGTTGCTATCAATGAGTGTTAACGCTTAATGTTAGCAACAAAACGAACATTACCTGACTTGGCATCACTCCACAGAAGAAATCTGCTAAATCTTGAAATTATTTACATTTTCTTAAAAAAGGTTTTTTTATTTGATATTTTTTTTTATTTAAATTTTATTTTAAAATATTTTTTTATTGTTTGACATAAACACATTAATATTTGTATTTTCATTTTTGAATTGGTAGCACTTTTATCGACGTTAAAATTAACTTGTATAATTTTACACGTTAACTCCTAACGTTTATAAATTTTAAATTTATATGAAATTGCCTTTGAACGTTAGCAACAAAACACAACTATTTTGTTCGATAAAAAATTGTATGTAAAAATATTAATTTTTAATATAAATTAAAAAAATAAAAATTTTATAAAATTAAAAGAAAATATTTGAGTTGCAAAGAATATAAGAATTTTTATGTCAAAAAAAAATTTAAGTGAAAATTTTCTTTAAAAATATATTTTTTATTAAAAGCAAGTTTTGGTCAAGAAGATATTTTGTGAATTTTGAAAATTAAAAGAACGAGAATTTTTTAAAACTAAAAGAAAATATTTTATTTAAAAAGGTTGTTAAAGTAAAAATTATAAAAATTGTTTAAAAATTCTAAATAAAAATTGTTTTTAAAAATAAATTAAAAAAAAAAGTTTTTGTAAAAATTCGTTTTAAACCAAATTTTAGTTTGAAAAATTACTTTTTGTTAAAAAAGAGAATATCTGAAGAATAATCATTATTGTGGAATATTAAAATTTTTGGTGAGTGTTTTAAAGTTTAATATCAAATACAGACTACTGAAGAATCGAACACATCACATAACTAGTTCCTCGGGATGCATGACAACATTATGCAGTTATTTAATTCACAATTTCGGATACATATCTTCTTTGTGCAAATTCCATTAACTTCTCACGAACTTTTTGAAAAATATTGTAATAAAATATTCAAAATTTAATTAAACTGGAATATTTATTGGTTTAAATTTCAAACGGAAATTGCTGAAAATACTGGTTTTAGAACTCTTCTGAAGTTCCCTAGAACTAGTTGCCGAAAGTACTTTTAGAATACTTGACAACTTTATACAGTTATGAAATCTCTAAATTCAATTTAATCTGATAATTTATTGGTCCAAATTTTCAACTCGTTTGAGAACTCTTCTAAATTTCCCTAGAACTAGTTCTGGAAGTGACAAATAAGAACAAAAATCATTGATAAAATAACTGGTAACAGAATCATTCCATAGAATAAGTGTGACTCCATAACCAAAGGTTTCCAAAGAATTAGTTCTAAAGATGACCATTTTAAACAAAAATCATTGGTCACAACTTTTCCCATGTTTCTGAGAAACCGAGGGTTTCCACTACAATAGTAAATAAAGACAATTTCGGATATTCTGCCTTTTGCATCGATCGAAACAAATCGTAGTCGGATGACATAAATTCTATTCTAAACTTTCCAAACCACACTTCGAAAAAGTTTATATAAATATTCCGGCCATTTTTTGTCCAATATTCTATTTAAACGAATCAATTGTAGGCGGTACAGGTTCTCTGCAATCAGCAGACTTAATTTCAGAAGCACACTGCCCGTGTTTCACATACGATTGAAAGCGTTTTGTGCTAAACAAAATATATATCATTTAGGGGCATTAAAATTGAAGACTCTTAGACCTTTATTTCCAACTTAATCAATAGATAATAAACGTGTCCTCTAGCTATTTCCGTTCGGACACTGTCGTGCATTCAACAGAATGATATACTGACTTCCCAAGATCACAAAATCTCATAAGGACCCATAATATATATCCTGGGTCCTTATGAATCCAAGTACTTTACCTATAATCAATATACCCCAAGATTAGGTCTCATAGGGACCCATGATATATATCCTGGGTCTAAGTACTTTATCTATAACAAAAAATACCCCAAGATTAGGTTTGGTTAGGTATTGACAGGTTGTCAAATGCATCATTTCTTAGATCCAAAGTTAGTCCTTTTGTAAGAAAGAACTATAGAAGAGATATAAATATAGGAGAGAGAAGAAACACAGAAAGACAGACATGTCATTGAAATAGAGACGCAGTACGATTACGATTACGTCCAACCTAATGAGAATTGGAAGTTCATACCGATTTTGACAAATTCAAAAATGCAATATGTCGTTCTAATTGAACATTCGATAGATCATTACACTAGATCGCGTTCATTTTCGAACCATTTTCAGGGGGTGGACAGTAACAGAGAAGAAGAAGAAGGACTACGATCTTCATCCTCACTCTGACAACTTCTGCAGTTGTCATTATATGGACAACTAATCATGCGTCTAGCAGGGTTACCAAACAGTGGTTACAGTGACCGGTAATAGCCTTTGAATAACAAGGAGATATATAGTTCTATGTGGATCCATATGAGGCCGAAACGCTCTAGTTATCGAAGACTCACTCGACCAACGGTCCCGGGGCTTGGAATAACAATGTCTATGATCTGTTTTTTAATTACAGGTAGTGGAACTCCACAGAACTGGTATATTTCCAACTCAATTAGCGTGGTTCCGATTTTTACCAAAGTGCCGGCTATATTATTGACATATATAGACCCGTGTCATTTGACCGAAATAAGAGTTAAGTTTGAATGTCACGTCATCCCTTTGGGAGACCTTTGGTAATCATTTACAAGTTTAGAGGTGGAAAATACTCTTATAAGCGATTTAATAGCAGCTTGACTATTGATATAAATTCTGATATCTCGGATAGTACCTTAGCCAAATCGACGACCTCTTGATCGGTGATATTTCAGCTTAAAGGATACTACCGTAATCTTTAAGTCTAAAATAGATTTTAGCGTCAATTTCTTCAATGAAGATGCCAGCACTAACTGCTCTCGTTGTCTTGCATCCGTCTGTATACACTCAGAAACAACTTTTTAAAGGAACGAGTGATTCTAGGGACTCCGTAGAGATATGATATTGGAATTATCTCTAGAGAGACGGTTTCGGGATACAATAATCAAAGGCATTATGGGGACCCGGCAGAAGATCACTAATTTTCGCATGATCGCAGGAGCAAGTATTCCTGGGAGCTGTTCTTAGAGTAGTGGTAGAGCAGAGAATCTTATAACCTTTTTCAAGATGTTGTTGTCTGTGTGAAGCGTTTTCCAGCATATGCAACCTTTCTATGCTTTTGATATTCTTGAGAGTACATTTATACTCCAAGAAAACTTTCTGATACTGAAAGCTCGGAAATATTTTGAACTAAACGAAAGCTTCAATACCTCTCCACTTAGATGAGGAAGAACAAATAGAGGCATTTAGCATTTTCCGGACAATAATACAATTTCCGTTTTGCCTGAATGTACACTAAGACCATAGTCCACACTGCATAAACTAATGATCTTTAGATGGCGTTCTTTACTAGGTGATCACCAGTAAACGTACCACCCAGCTATGAGAGAAAATATATTTTAATAAAATTTTTAATTGAATACTTTTCAGGCTCGACTTCCACTTGGGGATAAGTTTTCTTCCAAATTGTAATGATATTTTTAATATGTGACCGTTAAGCCGAATATTCTAGATGGAAAATTTTGACTTAAATCTCTTTAACAACAACTTTATCTTAATAGTTTAAAAACAAATTAGAAAATTCTCTAAAAAAAACTTGTTTATTTTATTATTATTTTTATTATTTTCCCAACTATTTAGAACTAATAACACTTAATAATTAGTTTTTCTTTTATGTTATTTAAGTGATTTAAACTTTTTTTGTCACTAATTTTATTCAATTTTTTGTCTATTTACAGAACTTAATTCAACAAAAGCCTCAACGATTCTTATACTTTAAACGCAAACAACAATAATAGCAGAGAGAAAAAAAAAGCCAACATAATAAAATCTCATTAGTAAACAAAACAGGAAATAAAAATGTCCATTAAACAATAAAACGACAAATACAGATAAAAAGCAACAAACCAAATAAAAAACAAATAAAAAAATAATAAAGAAAAAAAAAAAATCTAAAGATGAAAATGAAAAATTATTTCAAATAACCACAAAATAACATACAGAGAGAAAAAAGCACAGAAATGGACAGCAACAACAACACTAACAAAAGAAAAAAAGTAAAAAGTTTGAAGTAAATAATAACCAATCATTTTTTATACACAGTTAAAGCTGAAAATCCTACAAATAAACACAAGAAACGTAGCATAGTGATTAATAATATTTTATGATCTCTCTCTCTCTCTCTCTCTCTCTCTTAAAAAAATAAAATAAAACGTAACAGCAGTTAGAGAGCTGAACAAGAAAAAAAGGACACATAACAACCAACACCAACAATAAATAAACGGAAACTATAATATGTGATTGTGGTCATAAGCGGATGTCCGTGTTTAGAACAAAAATAACATCAACAGCAGCCCAAGATTGTTTTTTGTTGTCGTTGGTCCAACAACAATAACTAGTGTAAAATATTTACATTTAATTTTTATTTTTGGCAACCAACTGTAACAGACGTAATAGCGCTGTGAAAAAAAGTGCGTCTGGTCTTGGGATTTTCTTATTGCTGGTTTTCTGGCTCAAAAATTGCCATACTTAAAAATTACTTAAGACGTCGCCATAACATCACACACAGCAACACTCTGACAACCTAAAATTTTGCTAAAAAAAAAAAATTCCCCCTTCTTGCCACACTCACACACACACTCACACAAAATAATAAAGTTAAAAATGGAATTTCTTAAAAGGAAACATTTTTCATTGTGGATTACGACGACAACATTTATAATCATGACCAGCATAGCGTTAAATGTGTCCACAGTTCAGGGGCTCCAGGGTGTACCAACATGGATGTAAGTAGTACAAAAAAAAATTTTTAATACTTTATTATTTTTTATGATTTAAAAACAAAACGCCAGCAAAAAACAATGTATGATTATACCCTACACCACTATATGCGTTTGTGCTGATGTCTAAACCAATCGGTTTAGAATCACTTTCTGTGTCCATTTAGCTATGTCCGTCTGTCTGTCCGTCCATCCATCTATCCATCCGTCTGTGTGTCTAATGGTACTAGAATCACCGTCTGTCCATCCGTGTGTCTGTCTGTCCAATCGGCTCAGAATCACTTTCTACATCGATTTAGCTATGTCCGCCTGTCCAATCGGCTCAGAATCACTTTCTGAATCGATTTAGCTATGTCCGTCTGTCCATCCATTCGCCTGTCTGTCTGTCTAATGAGACCAAAATCGCCGTCTGTCTCTCCAATCGGCTCAGAATCACTTTCTAAATCGCTTTAGCTAGGTCCGTCTGTCCAATCGGCTCAGAATCACTTTCTAACTCGATTTAGCTATATCCGTCTGTCCATCCATCCATCTGTCTGTCTGTCTAATGGGACCAGAATCACCGTCTGTTCAATCGGCTCAGAATCACTTTCCAAGTCGATTTAGCTATATCCGTCTGTCCATCCGTCTGTTTAACTATGTCCGTCTGTCAGTATGTGTAATCGGCTCAGAATCACTTTCTAACTCGATTTAGCTATGTCCGTCTGCCAGTCTGTCCAATTGGCTCAGAATCACTGTCTAACTCGATTTAGCTATGTCCGTCTGTCCAATCGGCTCAGAATCACTTTTTAACACGATTTAGCTATGTCCGTCTGTCCATCCATCCATCCGTCTGTCTGTCCAATCGGCCCAGAATTACCGTCTGTCCATCCGTCTGTCTGTCCAATCGACTCAGAATCACTTTCTAAGTCGATAGCTATGTTCGTCTGTTTGTCCAATCGTCTGAAAATCACTATCTAAGTCGATTTAGCTATGTCCGTCTGTCCAATCGGCCGATTTTCGTAATGATTGGGCTTCGTTTGAACCCATAGTCCCCATAATAAACTCCCCCCATCAGAAAATTACTTGAAGGACAAAATTCACCTTAAAACACTAGTAAAACCAAATTTTATAAGGACAGATCCATATTAACCCCCTGCCCCCATACAAGCCCTCACTTAGAAAACCTACTTTTTTGACAACAAAAAGTAAAAATATTAAGGTAAATTAAATGCTTTATTATTCAAATACAAAATAAACAATATTTTTTAACATAAACACTGGTGTAGGGTATCATATAATCGGCCATGTCCAAATAAAAATTCTTACTTTTTCTGTTTATTTTTTTTTTTTTTTGTCTTAGGTCTTAGTAACAACTGTCATATTAATACATGACAATAATTTTTTAAAAACAAGAAAATCTTGTTGTGTCTTTGCCATTGTCTTTTATTTTGGTGGAAAACAAACCGAAAAAAATGTGAAAACTGAATAAACAATGAGTTAAGCCTTACATTTATAGTTTTCTATTTAAATTTCAAATTTAACAATAAGGACCAATTTGCGAGAAAAATGAAGCACACACAAATAATTGAAATAATCGTTTTTTACCTTTTTATGAATTTTCAGATATAATTTTTCTTATGGAAAAAGCTTTTTTTGGAGTAAAAGCTTTTTGAGAAAAGCTTTTTCTTATTGGAAAAGCCTTTTTAGAATAAAAGTTTTTTTTTTGGAAAAACTTTTTCTAATAAAAAAAGTTTTCTTCTAATATTTGTTTTAAAAAGCTTTTAAACTTTTTTTAAGAAAAGCATTTACTAAGAGAAATTTTGTTTTATGAAAAAAGCTTTTTTAAAACAACTGCTTATAGTAAAAAAATTATATTTTCCAATTTTTTTTTTTCAAAAAAAATCCTTCTATTAGACTTATTCAACTAGAAAAAAGCTTTTTTGAGAAAAAAGGCTAATTCAAATAGACAAACTTTTTTTGGAGAATATTTGTTTTAAAAACTTTTAAACTTTTTTTAAGAAAGACTTTTATTAAGATAAAATGTGTTTAAGACAAGAGCTTTTTTTGAATAACCGTTTCTAACAGAAATAATTTTTTGCAATTTTTTATAATAAAAAAATACATTTATTTTTTGTTTTTCAGAAAAGCTTCATATAGAGAAGGCTTTTTTAAATAGAACATATCTATTTTTTTTGTGATGGAATCATTTTATAATAGAAAAAGTTTTTCGTGGTGGGAAAAAGCTTTTTCAAATATCAAAGCTATTTGTGTCTCTTTCTAATAGAAGTTTTACCAAAAAAAGCTTTTTGTAAAACAAGCAAAAACAACTTTTTGCGAAAAAGATTTTTAAAAGTTTTTTGGAAAATATTTTTCTACCATAAACATTTTTTTGCGAAAAAGCTTTTTCTACTATAAAAAGTTTTTATCGAAATTTCTTTTTCAACTATGAAAAGCTTATTGTTGAAATAGCTTTTACTACTATAAAAAGCTTTTTGGTGAAATAGGTAAAAATGCGTTTTATGCTGTTGAAAATTTTTGTGAAAAAATTTTTTTAATGATTTTTGGGAAAAAAGCTTCTTCTCTGTAAATCTTTGGTGCAAACAACTTTTTAATAGGAAATCACTTTTTGGAAAAAAGCTGTTTCATAAAAGGTTTTTCGGTTAAAGTCAGCTTCTTGTTATAAAAATCTTTTTTTAATAAAAAAATTTCTTGTATAAAAGCTTTTTCAAATGAAAACATTTTTTTTTTTTTTTGTAAAATAAAGAAACAGTTTTCTTCTGATATTTTATTTATTTTGTATTTTTGTAATTCAAATATTTTGTTAAGAAAGTTTTCTCTAATAAAAAAGTTATATTTTGTGAACGAAGCTTTTTCTAATAGAAAATTGTTTTTGTATATTTCTAATAGAAACTTTCCCAAAAAAAGCTTTTTGTTAGGAAAAACTTTTTGCGAAAAAAAGCTTTTACTACTACAAAAGGCTTTTTGGTGAAGCAAAAAAGCCTTCTAAAATTAAATTTTTAAATTTTTTTAAGGGGAATGATATTTGGGAAAAAAAGCTTCTACTCTGTTAAAAACTTTTTAATAGGATAACATTTTTTAGAGAAAATGCTTTTTCTGATACAAAAAGTTTTTCAAGAAAGTTTTTTTTCGGTTAGAATATGTTTTTTATGTAGAAAACCTTCCTTGTTTTAAAGATTTTTCCAAAAAAAGTTTGGAAAATGAAAAGCTGTTTTGAAGAGGAATTAATTTTTTGTTAAAAACAGCTCTTTCAAAGAGAAAAATATTTTTTTTTTTAAAGCTTTTTCTATGTAAAAAAAGAATAACGAAAAGCTAATAGAAGCTTTTTTTTTTTTTGTTAAGAAAAACTTTTTGCGAAAAAAAGCTTTTACTACTACAAAAGGCTTTTTCGTGAAACAGAAAAGCTTTCTGTAATAAAAGAAGTTTTTTTTTTGTTAAAAATCTTTCACAAATAGAAAAAAAAGTTTAGAAAAAAGCTTTTTTGAAGAGGAAACCATTTTTTGTTAAAAACTGCTTTTTCAAAGAGAAAAATATTTTTTGTTTAAAAGCTTTTTCTCTATTAAAAGTCTTTGTTCGTTTAAAATGCTTTTCCTGGTATGAAAAAAGAAAATTGAGAAAAAAGGTTTTTTCCTCTAGCATTTTAAAGAACTTTTTATTAAAACTAGATTTATGCTAGAAAAAGTAATATTTTTTAGGAAGCTTTTTATAACAAAATGGCTAAAAAATTCTTTTGTAAAAAAAATAATTTTCAGCAAAGAAAAGTTTTTACAAAATTAGCTTTCTATAGTGTTTCCTTCAATTTTCCATTAGTGTTTGTTCTATATTTTGGGAAACATATTTAAACTTTTGGGAAAAACTTGTTTTATTCGTACAGCTTTGAGTTTCTAGGTCACATACCTAAACGTTCAAATACATATGTATGTATTCTCTGTAAAATTTAAGTATCATTTGATATCTACCAATTATTTTCCAAAAATTTCAACATTTTCCCCAATTATAAATATTTATATTAAATTTCACATTAGTTACCAAATAAATACATACAAACACACATACATACATACATATGTATCTATTTATTTTATACTTATTTACTCTCTCGTTTTGAACTCAAAGGACCCCCTAGTGTGTTAAATTGAAATTAAACTAGTTAAAATTAATCACAGCTTTTTAGCACAAATACTTAGAAATAAAAAAACAACTAAAGATGCCTTTTAAATGCCTGCTAAAACAGCTAAAGAAAACTTACAAATTAAATGAAAATTTATTGAAAAAATCTAGTTTATTATTTCCTTTTCAAAACTCAACATGAGGTAAAATGAAAAAAGTAAACAACGTAGAAAAATGAAATATATTTTTGATTTAACCCTAGAGGTTTATATTCAGTTAACATAAAACAAAAATCTAAATACCTTGAAATATGTATTTGAGGAAAAATGAAATAACTAAAATAGACTAACGGTAAAATTTGAAACTAAACCAAACGTTTTTCTTTAGCTTTTGACTTTTGGCAATATTTATACACAGCATGCATGCAGGCAAGGCAGGGTAC